ACTGCTGCTGTTGTAGTGGGAGAAGCTGAGGTTCTGCTGTAGAACAGTCAGTGTTACAGTGGGAGCAGGTCGACCTGTGGCTGAACAGGACACAACTGACTCTGCAGAAAAATCTGATCTGCTGACATCAAGGATGGGTTCATGCAGCTCTGAGAGGAGAACAAACATCATTTTGATGATAATATTAAACTTTTTTACCTTTGCAGCATGCCTCCTTTCCTCACCATAGAGTCTGAGGCAGGTCCTGACAATCAGGATTCCTCTAGGATAGGTGCTAAACAGACATTGGTAGCAGCCTTCATCCTCCTCCATGACCTTCCTGATCACCATGGAGCAGCTCTGAAGATCTTCACAGAGAAAATCCATCTTGTCCTTCAGGTCAGGTCTTACTCTGTACCCATATTCCTTTGTATAGGAGGCAAGAGTCTTCTGTTCATCATGGCGGACTTTCTGCCAGGTGATCCTTAGAACGTCTTTATCCTCAGTGAGCTGACAGCTTAGAGAGGCTTGATCACCTACTGCTGCCCACACAGTCTCCTCTGTTTCTATTAGAGCAAACTGACCTGGAGGAAACATATGGGGAGAAATAGAGCTTTAACAGATATTAGTTATTGGAAATTCCTGAAAAACCTTTCAGGAAGAAGCAGCTTCACAATCCGGACCAATCAGTTGGGCTGTTGAGATTTTAACTGGTGCACAAAACTTAATCTCCATCAATAAATTGGAGACATGTATTTCTGATCACAATCTGATACTTAGAACATTACTGACCACAGATTTTGGTGAATCTGATTACGTTTAATTTGTCATAAAAGTTATAGAACCTTGAGTCATGATGCTGATTCTGTTTGAATGAAAATCCCAAACTCAAAATGATTTAAAGATGAATACAGCAAATGTACCAGCTGGGTTTTTACTTCCAGAAGCTGATAAGATATACAATCATCCACAAGAGTGAAATATTTACCACTTTGAAATGAGGTCAAAGGTAACAGAGGGAGCGGTTATAATACAGTTTAACCCTCTCGTTTTTGAGACTTCTTTGGTCTGATATAACTAAACCTAAAGTATCCCCATGAATCACTTACAAAATGTCTTTAGGATAGTAAAGTTAATATTTTAAAGTGATCATCAAGTTAACCCTTTATAGGTAACTCACTGAAATCCTTTGAAAATCTAAATTTCAAGCCAATAGTGTCATTGGAATCCAAGAAAAGACCTTATTACCTTTGTAACATTCAAAAAATATGGATGGCAAAAATGAACGTCAATGTAACAACAAGAAATGCCAACTTGCCCGAAAAGAAAAAACATAAAAATAACAAAAGTTCTTCTATAAGAAATGAATGAAAAACACTCTGAAAGGGAAAGAAACACATTTTTTTTGGTCCAATATAACCTGAGAGGCATTAATGCTAAACTGGTACTTGCATTTTTTAGTTTTTAAAACCTAAATATAATTATTAACAAGGCGTATTAACTTTTTAACGTTACTTTTAACTTTTCAATCAGCTTTTTGCCTTTTTTTTCAACAACTTAATTTCCGGTAGGAAATACGGTATATCATTCAAGGGTTCATCTAATTGGTCAAATGCCAAAATAAGTTGTACAGCCATGTAGCGGGATCTTTGCTGAATTGCTGGATCTTGTGCTTCTAGACCTCACTGAGGGGCGGGGGGGGGACTCCATTTGTAAGGGATATGCAAGTGAACAAAACACTAACTTGCCCTATAAAGGGTTAAAGAACAAAATGAGTGCGTTAGCGAAGCTGCCTGAGGAGAAACCAGTTAGACCAGTTCTTCAACACACCAGGAAGGAAGCTGAAGAAAGAAAGAAAAGCTCTAAAGTGTGACTACAGTAGAAAAAACCACACCAAAAAAATGAGCATAGTGTTGGTAAACTTTTTCAAAAGCTGTTAAATAATATGCATTAAACATCAATGCAAAAAAGACAAAGGGAACAAATTATGGCTAAAAACAAGGAGTTAGTAAATGCAGTCATTATAGGACACTTTTGTTTAGTGAGCAAACAGCCTTCCTTACTGTATAAATCATCCAGTTAATGTATAACAACACATATTTTCTCAAATCTTATGTAGCATCTAAACCACTGCATAGATATATAGAAATGACCAAAAATAGAAGAGAACTTCTAACAATAGTAAAAAATGTCTACTTCAGTCAATCAAGACAAATTAACTCTCACCTGTCTGAAGGATGACGTTTACTAAAAAACAGCTGATTATAACAGCAGGTTGCATTTAGCTGTTTTTTAACACCCAGCCATGTTTCCTGTCCTGCATGCATCCATGCACTGAAGCTCAGACAGGGGAGGTTTCTGCTCAGTGGTGATGTCACTAGTCACTTAAAACGCTTTCGGAGGCCCGACAGGTGTGGGAGGGGTTAACAATTCTACATCAGGATTAATCTCTATTTAAAAAAAAAAATCTGATTAATACTTATTATTTATCAGCCACCAATTTTAAAGAAAACATCCTGAAACTGTTTGATTTTGACATTAACCAAGAATAAAAGCAGCATTAAACTAATAACCATATCTTACTTTCGGTATCTGAGTTATAAAGCTCACAGATTTAACGCACAATAAAGATGATCCAAAGTCTAAATTTTAAGTTTCAAGCATCTGTAAGAATAATTTGGTTGGTGGAGTTTGTGAGTAATCAAAATAAAACACAGAAGTGTTTGTCATTCATACAGTTCATTAAAATAAAACAGGAAGAGCTCGATGGAAAACCAAAAAAATATGTTAAAAGTATTCACACCCCCGTATGATTTTCCACACCAGATTTACAAAAGTTTGTGTACTTCATTGGGACTTTATGTGAAAGAACAATGTGATATAGCACGTCTATACAACTTTGAAATGGAAGAAAATTATCAGTTTTCAAAAATTTTTTTTTAGTATAACATTTCTGAAAAGTGTGGCAGGCTCCTAAAATCATGTAATGAACTGTTGATCATTGATAAGAGGATTCATTTTATCTGAGAAATAAATGTACACTGAAAAAAATAATGCAACCGTTTTTTTTGGGGCATCTACTTAATCATATTTAGATATTTTAAATTGTTTTTCCTACCCTGCTAACATGAAAATATTGTGTTTAACCAAACATGATTAAGATTCAGCGTTAAACAAGTTTTTTGTTTGTGTTTTTATTACAAAAATATATGTAAACACTGTTGTATTTTTCTTTAACCCCATGAGTCAATCACCTATTTACTTCATTGATAGCAGCAGATTTTGTGTAATTTCTACTAGGTCATATTGTTGCACATTCTTTATGTTAAGCACTTTTTAATGGACAAATTGAAATTGTGATTAATTTGTATGAGGAGTAATGTAAAGTTAGGGGTTACTTTAAATAATGTTAAAAACATTAAATCTTACCAATTGGCTGCAGTGACGTCACAGCAGGAAGCATTTAAGTGCCAGAATGCAGACAAATCTAATTTTCTTTGTTTTCTCATTTTGCCAGCAATTTCATTTCAATATTTCAAAATATGAAAGAAAGGTGTTTTTTTTCTCATTATTTTTTTATTTCAGAAACTAGGTTAAAAAAAAGGACAAAAAAAGAGTTTATATAAAGATGTGCGTCTTTAAAATACAGAAAATTCAATTTAATCCGTTTTCTTGTTTGCAGTTTGAGAAAGGCAGCTAAATTAAAAAATACTTTTTTCATATTTTTATTTGAAATGGTAAAAATAGAATTAGTTTAGCACATAAATAACTTTTGCTTAGATTTCAAGACCTTTTTTGCTTGTGATACTGCATAAATAATAGTTTGTTACGGTAAGTCTTTGTCTCCTTTGTTTACCGCTTTAATTACACAGGGTGTTTTGCATCTCTAAAAATATAAATTGTATAATAGTTAAAGCATCTCATTATTAATACCTATGAATAATAAAAATAGCTAAAAATCACAAAAAAAAACACAAATCTGACTTAAGTTCTATTTTTCATTTCTCTTTTTCACTTCCCAAATGGTAGATAGTTGTCCAAATATGCCACTTTAAGAGCTTTCTGGATGCTGTTTAAGATACGATTCATTAAACTAAATCTTCCACTGAATGCCTGAAATGTGGCAAATATCCACAAGCTGAGGGATCTCCTTTAGCTCCACACATCTAGGCGACTGTAGGTCTGCATTAATATAGACTCACTGGAATTTGATGGTGGATGTAATGGCAGCCTAATGGAGAAGGAAACACATGCATTCAAAAGTGGTTTGCTGCATTTTAATCACACTGACAGACAACCACAAGTTAGTAAAAAGAATATATATGTCATTCATTCCATAAGGAAATGTCCTCTTTGAAACAGTCTTGAATATATAAAATGATTTTAAGAAAGGGCCAAATGTTTCATTTCATGTTCACCTACACCACAGAGCTATGGTAATATACATGGGGTGTCACTGTGTGGCCATTTCCAGTGGAGGGAGGTGGGCATCCCATTGTCATTTAAGGTTGAAGGTAACTTAATTGATACCTGCAGGTAAATATGTTTTTTTTTAGTTTGGAAAATGGGCATCTCAACACTTAAATTAAATAAACTACAAAAACAACTCAGAACACATACAGAAGACAAGTTAATTTAGTACAATCAGACTTTAATAGGTACTCCCAGCGCCTCACTGAACATTGCTAAAAGAAAAATGAATAAATAAATATGCCTATTTAATATTCCTAACATGACTGTATGAAATTATTAAAAGCATAAGAAGAGACAAGAGAGTTTGACCAAACATTGGAGATGGAAATAAATAAGTGGGTGAAAGCACATTAAGATTTATTTAAAAGAGAAACAGCTACAGGAACCAAACTATTCCTGTAGTGAGCATCAAGCATGTGTGAAACAACTAGGAAAAACATCATCAGTCAAGCTCCGATTCATTGAGTTACCATGACAGGCAAGCGGACATCTACCCATTTCACACCACTGGAACTAGAGCTGTTTTACATTTTGCTTTAGTTTGGAATAAATACATATTTGTAAACCGACTAAATCAAGCATCTCATTGAGATTATTATAAATTATTTCATCATAACCTCACAATAGTTTTTCATGTTCCACATCCTTTGATCTCAGGTCGGCTGCTTCATCTCTTCCACTGCAGACTGGTGGGTTAGTTTGTTCAGACCCTCCTGCTGGTTTTACTTCTGACTGCCGCTGTCTGCATCGTGGTGTCACTATGCTTTCTATACGTGTTTCTACTATTGAAGGTTCCTCAACACTGAAAAATAAAAGAAACAATAACTTTTTGGTTGAAAGTTAAGTTATATAAAAATAATAAACTCTAAAAGTTGCACAGTAAGATAAATCTGATGAACACACCAGAGAAGAAGAAGCTGCATTGACAAGTGAATGATTTAAAGTTTTCTAGATTTACATTTTAAGGACTAAATATACAAAAAAGGAGGCAAGAAGTAAAGGTAGAGGTAAGAGAAAGGAGAATATTACTATGAATGAAGAGCAAAGTAAAGAAGGTCTTACAATTGTTTGCTCCATGTATCTTCATGTAGCGGGATCAATGATTCTTCAAATAGCCTGTCCAATGCATCTATAGATGATGTGTTCAATGAATCTTCACATGGCTTTTTCACTGGATCTTTTGCTTCCGTGTTCAATGCATCTTCAAGTGCCATGCTTTGTACAACTTCAATCCCCCTGTGAAATTAAAAAGTATATATATCTCAATAATCCACAAACATTAATCTGCTGAGTTGAACATCCAGGTGACAATTCAGACACTGTGTGAAAGAAATACCTTTTTTCTGCCCTTTTTGTGAACCATAAAATGATGAGAAAAGCAACGATGCAAACCATGAATCCACTGATTATACACCATGCTATGGAGACACAGGAAAAAATGCTGATATGATTAACTAAATCATGAATAATAATGAAATTAATTATAAAACTGAAAACTCCTGAACATTAACTTACCAACAGCACTGTTATTTGAAGCAGATTCTACATCAAAACCTGAAGAAAAAGAAAGATATGAGATTTAAATTAAAATATGATTATTCAGCTCGACATGAGTCTGTCAGAGTTCCTCACCATCATCAGATGTTCCTTTAACTCCAGGAACGGTGATCAGCTT